TAACACATTTTACATTCCGATAAAACATGTATACATACATTATTGATTTGAAGTTTTTAAACTTATATATTGTATTTGTAAGTTTATCAGACAGATGATTTTCTTTAAGTCGTATTGGTTTTACCATTGAATAATGAATTTTGCAATGAACACGAGTCGAGTTACTGCAGTTGATATACATGTATATTTATATATATTAAAATATATCTTAGAAATTAATAATACAAAATATGTGTTAATCGTACATTCCACAAACAATGATAAATAGATAAACAACTTACATTGTTATTTGTTATTGTTTTTTATTAGTTACTTTTTGATAATATTATGATGATTTCAATACAATTTTTTTATTTATTCCAGTTATATGTTTGTAGTATTTTGTATTCAAGAATGAACACGAATAATTAAGGTTTAATACATGAGTAAATTTTTTTCTTTAGAAATAAGATTATAATATATATAGTGTAAGTGTCAATTGTTTAAATGGAACACTTTCTTTCAGTTTGTCTCTTGTAAAAATGATATTTTCATTCCTTAATGACCATCCTTGTTCTGAGGGAAATTTAAGCTAAAAGAGGGAAATTTAACATCAATGTTATACTTAATACACTGTTATAAAATGTGCGGAGTTGTTAATAAACATACGGGTACATTTTAAATATTCTATATTGAAGCCCAAACCTGGTTTCCAGTTTTATGTCAATGATCTATTTTAATCGTTTATAATCAATAATCATTTGTTAAACCATGACATATACATATGAAGATCTGATTTTCCTTTTTATTTCGGTGCACCATTAGCGTTAACCAATAAATTAACGGCACTTGGGTAGTTTCGAAATAAGACTTTTATTTAAAGACACTTGTAAATAGTTTAAGAGTAACTTTGGTCAGATATGGACCACAGAATAAGAGAAATTATCATAATGCTAAAGTGTGGCTGTGGGATATTTTGCAAACTTATTTGCATACTGGAGGTTTTAGATGAAGAATTAGGTAAGTCTTAGAGATATAGAAATAAATATTTATACATTTAAACATAAAACAGAATTAATAAATGTGACAATTTATGCTGTCTGTGTACAGTCAGGAAACTGCTTGACAATATATTTATATCACAGATTCTTCTGTTGGTATGAAAATCACTGATTACAATTAAAAGTCAATGTTTGCTGTAAAAGTCACTGGTTGCTATGGAAAGTCAATACTTGCTATGTAAAGTTAATGTTTGCTATGGAAATGACTTTCTGTTATGGAAAGTCAATGGTTGCTATGATATTAATTGGTGCTTTCGAAAGTCGATAGATGTTATAGAAGTCACTGGATGCTATTGAAAGCCAATAGTTACAATTGAAAACAGTGATTATATGGCAGCCACTGTTGCCTTTTGAAAGTCAGGGTTGTTATTGAAGTCAGTTGTTATTTAATAAAGTCAATGTTTGCTATAGAAGTCAATTCATGCTTTTGAAAGTCAAGTCATAAACCTTTCAAAACAAAATACTGATTATTAAATAAAGTCAATGGTTGCTCTTAAAATCAACATACTGGTTACTTAGGAAAGTTAATGTTTGCTATGGAAGTAAATGCCTTGAAAGGAAAATCAAGGGTTTCTATGGAAGTCAGTTGTTGCTTAGGAGATGCAAAGGTTGCTTCGAATAGAATTCACTGATTTCTTAGGAAGTCACCTTGTGCTGTTATATTCAGTAGTTGCTAAGGAAGTCAAAGATTGATATTTAAGTCACTTATTGCTATAAAAGTTAGTGGTTGTGGCTACAATACAATATCAATGATTGCTTTAGAGGTCACTGGTTTCTTTGACAATCGCTGGTTTCTGACTTATCTCAATGGTCGCCATGGAAGTCATTGAATGACTGAAAAGTCAGTGGATGCTACGGAAAGTATATGATTGCTATCTATCATAAGTCAATTCTTGCTTTTGGGTCACCGGTTGTTATAGAAAGTCAATTTCCCTAAGCTAAGACAATGCTGGTTATGGGAGTTATATTGCTTGCTACGGAAAGTCAATAATTGCGTTGGAAGTCAATGGTTGCTATTAAAGTCAATGCCTGCCTTGGAAATCACTTGTTACTATGAAAAAAGTCAATTGTAGCCGAGTAAAGTCACTAGTTTCTATGGAAATTCAATAATTACTTTAGAAGTCACTAGTTGCTATTGAACGTCAGTTGTTGCAATGGAAGTCGGTCATTGGAACTGAAAGTAAATAGTTAATTCATGCGCCGTTAATTACCTAAGAGCTTTAGTTTAATCAACTTGGTTGAGGTTTACTTCATAATGTTTAATGTTTAATATCTTTGGTCTAGACATTTGGTTTCACAGGAGTTAAACTTTTAACCAAATGGTTTTAATTTGGAAAAAAAACCGTGTAGTGAAAAACCAGTTCCTTGTTAATGTGCATGGTTCAGATAAGATAATTTTTACTAACTCTAGAGAGCAAACCAACTATCTTTATACCCTAAAGGTATAAATGAAAACAAAATGTAGATGGCCATTTCACAATGTTTCAGGCACAATGTCTGAATTAGCTTTTATGTTTTCGAGATAATGATTTTTAAAAGTTTTTGCTGCATATTTAAATATAAAAAGGAAAATCCCTGAACCCACGGAATGAAGCCAATTTAAACCAAATGGTTATAATTGGTACAAACTTGGTTCAATGCCATTAGCTTATGTTTCAAACCAAATATCTAAGCTTTAGTCGTTTTGTTTTACGGAAAATCCATGCCCCCGGGGATAGGGTCAGTATATATAGACTGCCAGGACTATTATTTAAAAAAAAACTTGATATTATTCCACAATGTCTTAATTTTAACCCTTATGGTTTCCAAGGAGTCGAATTTTAAGTTTTTACTTAATATATGTTTAATATAAGGAATTATTATACGTAAAAATGAAAATCCATGAACCCTGCATCGGGGTCAATTTATAGACCCCTAGGGCTTTTATTTGAACAATCTAAGAAAAAGAACAGAACCGATACTTTATTAAGATTTGTGCATTTTACACTATCTATAATAAAAAAAAATTACAAACTTAACGTTAATACAATAGCGATCATAACTCTTTTAAAATTCTCTATTTAAATTTATCTAGTGACACGAAAAATAATGAACAAATGTTTATATTAATGACATACGAAAAAGAGAATGAGCAATTATATGATGTTTAACGCTCAAACAGTGTATTAGACAATGTTTTGTGCCTAAGTATTATCTTTGGTTTAAGAAATTGTGATATTGTTTAATTTATGCACATATAAGGAAAATCAGGTTGGACCAATTCAGACAAACAAACTTGGTAGAATTTTATTTTAAAATGTTTCATGCCAAACATCTTAGGATTAACCTTTATGTGTTGAAGCAAGAATTTTTTAGTTTTTACTATATACATTTTAATGAAAATTCATGATCCCTGGGGCGGGGCTAATTGAAATTCCGTGGCTATAACAAAATTTGTAGAGGCTTACAAGACAATGTGTCTTCCTAAATACCAGAGCTTTAGCCTTTGTGGTTTTAAGGACGGTTTTACATTTTTTACTGGAAATTAATTTGTAGAAACTTCAGAGAAGAACATTTTTAAAGATGTTCCTGTCAGTGCAAAGTCTGCAAGAGTTATGCATGGCATTGAATTCTTTAAACAAATGTGTTAAATAGCTTAACGCCAGGAACATTCCAGTCTAGTTTTAGTAATAAAAACCTGTAAGCACTTACTTAACTCCATGAAATCAAATATTATTCATTGTACCATAGTTTGGAGACTTTTGTATTGACAACGTATCAGAGTTAATTAAATCGTATACCAATACATGCACTATGGAAAGCCAGGGTAACGTTACAACCCTGTCGGCGTTATTATTTTCCTTATATAAATACATAGAAAAATATGAACTTCGATTTTATTAACATCGCCGACGATTTTATATTTTACGTTGAAGACGCTATTAAAAACAACTTTGCATGTGCAGGAAAACAGCGACAATATTATCAACAAATTACGGGGTAACTATTTTCAGCGTCTATTCAGAAATAACTTTGTTGTCTGGAAATTAGACGACGTTGTTATAAGTCTTCGATTTAAATATTTAACAAATTCCGTAAAAAAACAACCATCTTATTTGTAAAGTTAGGGGCCGCTTTCATTATTAACTTCGGTCATTTTCTCACTGACGATCTTGCCATTTAAGTTCAGCGACGCTTTTATTTTTAACATCCGACACCATTGTTAACAACTTCTGTCTTAAAATTGGCGTTAAAACGACAAAACTATATTTTCTATTACTATTATTATGGAAAGCCAGAGTACACCCCGCAGGTGTTATTATTTTCCCTATATCAATACAAAAGAAAATATCTTCGTCGATTTTATTAACACCGATCGACGACGTTTTCATATAATGTTGACGAAACTATATATAATAACTTCGCATGTACAAGAAAACAGCGACGATACTATCAACAACGACGTAATTATTTTGAGTGTCTCTTCAGTAATATCTTCGTCTTTTAAAAAGAAGACGACGCTATTATATTGCTGTTATAGCGACTCTCGCTAAATCTCATTTGTTTTAAATCGACAGTATGGAAAGCCAGAGTACACCCGAGTTCAAACGATGAAGATATTACTGAAGATACGCTGAAAATAATTACGTTTTGTTTTGTTTTGTTTTTTATTTCTTTTTTTGTGTGGTTTTTTTTTTTGCATTGTATGATGATACAACTTGTAAAAATAATAATAAAAAGTCTCATTGGGTATTACAAATAACTAGATTTTTGTTCTGAGTTCTATCGGGGAGATGGGCGACTTACTTTGATACCTTGAACATAGTCATATAACTACCTACATTTCTATATTGATCAGATTTGAACCCAGATGAACGTATTGAGCATATGGTATTTACTGTATTCAGCATATTATTAAGTGATTTTGGAGCTGCCCTCGTAATAAACCTGCTAGACTCTGAAACCAGGCATCAAAGGGATCAGGCATCAAAGGGATCAAAACACCTCTGTCGCAATAGGATTAAACTTCTTTGGAGGTAAGCCAGTTAATTTTTATTCATTTTATCAATTATTAACTACCCTCGATTAAATCAATACAAGAAACATGGCAATGCCATGAAACCAGGTTTTCAAATTATCACCATTGTAGATAAATATATTGTATTGGAAATACAAATACAAGCAACACACAATGTAACTATGTGCAATGTAAAACATGAATAATGTAGGAAGAATTGCCACAGAGGAAGTGTTCACTATAATTATATTCTGTATAAGGAAAAAAAACAAAGGGCCATAAATAAATAAAAAAAAATTTCAATCACAAAACCCCGACAATATGCGCCAGGGCATTGGATGACAAAGCTACTGTGAAAGTTTGAACAAAATCCGTTGAGAAATGTAGGAGTTCAGCACAGAAGATTTTTTCACTATATATTCTGTATAAGGAAAAAAACAAAGGGCCATAATTAGGTCAAATATTACCCAATCACAAAACCCCGATAATGTGCGCCAGGGCACTTGATAGCAAAGCTTCTGTGAAAGTTTGGTCAAAATCTGTTGAGAAATGTAGGGGAAGTTGCGCATGGTAAAAATTGTTCACTATATAATCTGTATAAGGAAAAAAAACAAAGGGCCATAATTAGGTCAAATATTATACAATCACAAAACCCTGACAATATGCCCCAAGGCACTTGATGACAAAGCCTCTGTGAAAGTTTGGTCAAATTCCTTTGAGAAATGTAGGAGGAGTTGCGCACAGAAAATTGTTCACTATATATCCTATATTGGGAAAAAAAAAACAAAGGGCCATAATTAGGTCAAATATTATCCAATCACAAAACCCCAACAATATGCGCCAGGGCACTTGAGTACAAAGCCTCTGTGATAGTTTGGTCAAAATCCATTGAGAAATGAAGGAACAGTTGGGCACAGAAGAAATTATTCACTATATATTCTATATAAGGAAAAAAAACAAAGGGCCATAATTAGGTCAAATATTATCCAATCACAAAACCCCGACAATATGCGCCAGGTCACTTGATGACAAAGCTTCTGTGAAAGTTTGGTCAAAATCCGTTGAAAAATGTAGGAGGAGTTGCGCACAGAAGAAATTGTTTACGCCCGTCCGCCCGTCCGCCCATCCGCCCGCCGACATACCTCAATCTAATAACCAGTTTTTTTCCTTCGGAAAACCTGGTTAATAAAAAACAGATAAAACTGTGAGTGAAATTGGCACGTCTAGTAAATATGTGATTGTTAATGCAAACAGTCTACTTCGCAATACAAATTGCTCATCCACCGCCAGTTAGAAAGTCGCCATATGAAATAATGTAACTATACTAGTGTGGCTATCTTGTCCTTACTTTTTGTGCCCCCACTTAAGGGGGTGGGGCATTTAGATTTACCCTTGTCCGTCCGTTCTTTTTTTTGTCGCACGTAACTCAAAAAAGTATTTGACTTAGTGTCATGAAACCTTACAGGATTGTTGCTCAGCATCTGAAGTTGTGCACCTGGGTATTAAGGTGTGGATATATTAAGTATTTTTAGAGTTATTGCTCTCGACTTAGTAAAATTTTACAAATTTCAACTTGTGTCGCACGTAACTCAACAGGTATTTGCCCTAGAGTCATAAATCATTACAGAAATGTTGATCAGCATGTGGAGTTGTGCACCTGGTTTCGCTCGTGGATAAAGTGTGTTTTGTCAGAGTTATTGTCCTTTACTTAATAAAAAAATGCAATTTTCAACTTGTGTCGCACGTAGCTCAAAAAGTATTTTACATAGGGTCATGAAACTTTACAGGAATGTTTTTATACCCCCGCACAACGAAGTTGTAAGGGGGGTATACTGGAATCAGCTTGTCCGTCCGGACGTCCGTCCGTCCGGCTGTCCGTCGGTTTTTCCTTGTCCGCCCAATAACTTGAGATTCCTTTGGCCCACAGTCTTCATATTTGGCATGGAGGTTAGTCATGATTAGTAGATGACACCTATTGATTTTGGGGTTACTGGGTCAAAGGTCAAGGTCACAGGGACCTTGACTTTAAAAAGTTTGTCCGTCCAATAACTTGAGATTCCTTTGGCTCACAGTCTTCATATTTAGCATGGAGGTTAGTCATGATAAGTAGATGACCCCTATTGATTTTGAGGTCACTGGATTAAAGGTCAAGGTCACAGAGGCCTTGACTAAAAAACCTTGTCCGCCCAAAAACTTGAGATTCCTTTGACCCACAGTCTTCAAATTTGGCATGTAGGTTAGTCATGACTAGTAGATGACTCCTATTGATTTTGAGGTCACTGGGTCAAAAGTCAAGGTCACAGGGGCCTTGACTAATAAAAGCTTATCCGCCAAATAACTTGAGATTCCTTTGACAGCAGTCTTCATATTTGGCATGGAGGTTAGTCATGATTACTTAATGACCCCTATTGATTTTGAGGTCACTGGGTCAAAGGTCAAGGTCACAGAGGCCTTGACTAAATCTTGATTTTAAAATTTTCACATCTGAAGCATGGATAATACATATCTTAGCAATGCACTGGCTTAGTAACCTCAGATTTGGCAGGGTGGTTGTCCTTGAGCTCTAAATTGCCACTGCTGATTCTGACAAAGTGGTATGCGGGGGTATTCACGCTATGACAGTGGCAGTTCTAGTTTGTTCACCTGGGTAATTTTGTTAAGATTTATTTAGTATTAAGAGTTTTTGTCCTTGACAGGGTAAAAATTTGCAATTTTCTAATTATGTCGCATGTAGCACAAATCTTATTTGACATAGGGTCCTGAAACTTTACAGGAATGTTGATCAGCATGTAAAGTTTGGCATCTGCTGTTTCTCTTGTGAATTAATATGTTTTGTCATCGTTATTGCCCTTGACTAAGTGAAAATTTACAATTTTCAATTTGTGTTGTGCATACCTCAAAATGTATTTAACCTTGAGTCATGAAACTTAATAGAAATGTTGGTCAGCAAATGTAGTTGTGCACCTCGGATTTCGCTTGTGGATTTATCAAGTATTTGTAGAGTTATTGCCCTTGACTTAGTAAATCCGTTTCATTATGTTGTGTTATTTGTTCCTAGAGAACTTGAGTTAGAATCAATCAACTTTGCAGGAATAATGATCAACATCACTGTAAAACTATGCACCTGGGATTTTGCATGTGAATCTTTTCAGTTTTGTTAGAGTTATTGCCATTGACTTAGTATAAATTTGCAATTTTCAACTAGTTCATGCATAGCTCAAAGTATTTGACATGCAGGCCTGAAATTTTACAAGAATGTTGGTCAGCATGTGTACTTATGCACTTTGGTGTTCGCTTGTGGATTTATTCAGTATTTGTAAAGTTCTTGCCCTTTACTTAGTAAAAGATACTTTAGTGTTCAACTTGTGGCACATGTAGCCTAAAATATATTTGACCTAGAGTCATATGATTGACAAACCAGTGGAGTGTGGGGGCACACGTGTCCTATGGACACATTTCTAGATATCAATAAATTCGAATACCATTGTAAATTGCTTTCAACTTTTCATATTCTATGTTTAAATGTTCAGTTCTCCATTAATAAAACATATTGTGTAATAGTGGATCTTTAATCTTATAGCCGTGTTGAAGATTATTTCAACCCCTAGACTGATCTCGAGGACAAAAGGTATACCTATGTTTAGCGGCATATATGCAGTATTGGAGATAGCCTTTGTAAGTTTTATATGTCGTTTCTTTCTTTACTTGAATACTCAAAAGCCGGATAGGGATTTAAATCGAATCATGTAAAGTGATTGCAACCAATGCACATTCGAGACACGTATTTTCGTTATTATATGGGGGATATTTGTTTGTTTTGCATATATGTATGTTGTAGTGGTGAAAAATATACATTTATAGGTGTTTGTAAAAATAGAAGTAGGCCTCTATCCCACTTGGCACAATTGTTGTGGTGTTAAATATTAAAAGCTTTTTGTTTTCTATAAATAGAATTTAATTACTTATTACTAAAAATGTACTTTTTGATGTTTTAAGTTTGCTCAGGAGTACTTTTTAATGTGATAAATCTAATTGTCAGGATGACACTACCCTTTGAATGCAAAGGGGAAAAAAGCACAAATGTTGAATACATTTAAATCAGCCAAATTTGTGATGAACTAAGTTTTTATTTACACTTGAAAGTTCTTAAATTGTTATAACTGAAAGTATAAAAAATAACCTTAATGATTCTGTGCTGTTTAACTTATAAACCTAAATAGTAGCAAGCCCTGTTTTAAAGTTAAACTAACAAGAAATATAATAATTCAAGATGGCTGCCACTTAAAACAAAGAAAAGATATTAAATAATATTAATTAGTCTTTATTAATTCTGTGAAAATAACTTACAAGATTACTTTTTAAGTGATTTTTGTATGTTTTACTGATTTTGCCGTATAACGTCGCGCATTATCCTTTATGACGTCAAAGCATCATGACGTCACATCATCAATTTTAAAATATAGTTCCGTAAAATTTCTCTGATTTTGTTACAATTTAAGAAGATGTATGATGACATCGACTTTCTTTTTCTAAAGAAGAAAAATTTAGTTATTACGACATTTCATTTTGCCTGTTATTCCATTAATTTACATTAATATGATTTCTTTTTTCATACGCATTCAGATGTAGTCCGGCTACAGTGAAAATATATTTTATAAATTTCACTAGAGGTTTATCACAATAGAATCATTGGATATCTTACAGTTAAACACTGTAAAGCGTGCAAAAATGTATATGTCACCAGTACCGAGGGCTGTCAATGGGTTTTTTATTTTATTTTATCAATTTCTTTCTGATTATCAATTGGACATTTATGACATAGTAACTATACAAAATAAGTAATTCTATATGTGTTAAAACAACCACTTAAGCAATCAATTAATATGACACTATATTTTACTGTTAGAATAACTTTGATATTCGTCTGTTTTTCAGGCCGTTGTGATGGGGTTTTATCACTTTGATATATACGATGAAGTAAATAGATGGTAGGAATAAGAAGACAGGAACAAAAATCAGCTTTAATAATTTGACAATATACAATGAACATAGCACTCTAGAATGTTAAATCTTTCTATTTAAAAATGTTTAAATGATACAGCATAGAAACAACCCTGTAAAAGTGACGCAAATCTCTGCGAAAACTATCATCAAAACAATATAATCGGAAATATTTTCTTGAAAGACTTTACACCTAAAAGAAAAACACATTAATTATTTTTCTCAACGAACACCTTCGATATGGGAAGACAAATAAAATAAAAAAGGTTTATCGAAATAATTATTTTTATTAAATAAATTAAAATTAGTTCGCCTCATAACAAGTTTGCCCTTATAGGTATTTCCAGATTGTTTTGTTGGTTTATGAATTAAATTTGAATTCATTGTTTAAACAATTAAGTTAAGGAGGTGAGAAGGGGTCAGATTGAGGCCTTGCATGGAAAATATTCAATGTATCTAAAATGATCGCTTCTTCTTCTCCATATCACTTTATGCATGTTAAACATCGACTTACGTAGATCTTAGATACTTCAACTTACTCATTATTCAATCAGCAACATTGCATGTATAATTTATTTCAATTACTGATAACATATAGCATAAAATGATAAAAACTGCAAGATTGACATCATAATAACAAAAAGAGGAAAAATCTATTAAAACATGTCAGGCGTTACTTCCCCTTACAATACGTTTCACATCGTTATCGTAGAGGTCGCCAAAGAAACAATAAATAAATCTGATTGGAAAAACAAAAAGAAATATTATAATTAGAAAAGCGAGCCGCAATTAAAGATTTTTTCGCTTCGAAATGTTGCTTCTATTGTAAGTTACTTTTTTTCTGCTGCAATTTTTATCGATCAATTTTATTTGAAAAAAATGTGCAAAATCATACATTTTATATTGAAAACTATGATGATTAAATGGTTTATTGCAGTGTAACCTCTTTGTTGCTTTTGTTTTATTTATGCTCGGCGCCAGAATTAACCATATTTCCGGGATACATGACCGTCCAAACCGGTCCGCTCTAAAAGCCATGTTGGGTACGTCTATTTCATGCCTCCGATCTTGACACGTCAACCAATCATCCCTGGTACATAGGATGACTTGACCTTGACCTGTCGTGTAGTTTTTCGCGACGTGCACGCCTCGAGAAGGATTTGGAGGAGAAGTACAACGACTCGAGTTATCTATCAGATAATTTTAAACTGGGTAATATAACTTATAATTGTTTGAATATCCAAAAAATTTAAATTATCAAAACTCCTTTCTTTATTAGATCTAAAAGCAAAGTTTTTCCAGCTTTGTGGAAAAGTAATCTGATAAAATTTTGACAAAAATTTTACAACTAAAAGAAAACGTATAATTAGTCGCATATAAGTTTTGATGAATAAAATTCCACAATTTTCTGGTTCAATGCTAACATTGTGGTTCCGCTGGTGAAAATGCAATCATTAATATAGTTACAAATGTACTAAAATTTACATATTTCGAAAGTTCAGCGCATACTGTATACTTACTATATATGTATGCATAGCAAATGGTTAGGAATATTATTGATAGAACGACACGAAACCAACAGTCTATCAATGTCAAAAATGTGTGTTTGGTTTTTTGAAGACTTTGAATATAGATAATGAAAACTTCAAATTGTTTGAATCTACGTTCATAGAATATGTTAAGGACATGAGAAAACTCCGTTGTTTTATATGAGAAAAACCCGTTTCAAATGAATTTTGTAAAGTGTAAGCAAGCAGCTTTTTTCGTGGTAATGTCACAAAATGTTTAGAGAAATTTTCACAGCTCTATTAAATGTCATCTAAATGTCAAAGAAAGTGCAACAATAAACAATTCATAGGATCACGTAATGTGATGTAAACCATCAGTCAATTTAAGTCAAGTGTCTTTAGAAACACATTTGTTTTTTTTTCAATTTATAACACGTTTAATAACATTTAGTATTATTCCGTTTAACATCGGCGATTTCCGTGATCTAAAACTGCACGGAAGTACCTCGCTTATTATAGCTTAATCAGCAAATCTCAATGATGGGTAAAAACAGATAATTTGCATACAGATAAAAATGAATACTTTATTAAAGAAAAACACATCATAGAATCCAATAGAGAACATGGTAGAGTGAATACTGTTTTATAAATGCGTTGTATAATTTTGAAACAAAATTTTAAAATATCTTTTAACATAAACATTGTTAAATGATATAATACATATGGTTAAATATAATACTGGCTTTAATTTAATGCATGTAAAATAGTTTGAACAATACAACACATATATTAACTACTTATTGCACTCTTGTAAAAGCATATTTATGCTATAGCAGCCGTGTACATAAAAATGTTACAATGCAACATGACGATCACAAAACTTAACTATGAAGATTGGTTTGACTTAATTCACAAAGAAAGCATTTGTTTCCGGTCATTGTAATCTATTAAATATCTTTACGAAAATATCCTAGGTAAATATTCGTTAAAATCTGAAAAAATAATGTGAGAATTCAAAATTTGTTAGTTAAAATATCGTAGGTCGCAACAATGGTCATTATGAATTTCACATTAACATTAAAGTTAGCATTAAAATGTTTATCACAAAAAAATCTTTAATATTCATTATTAAATGAAATTCAACAACGTGTTTATATAAATTAGAAATTCATATCTAATGTGTGCAACTATACGAGTACATGTCTAGGATTTTGACCTTGAAAACTTATATAACATGTAGTTATTGTTTGCAAAATATTTCCATTCGTGCATGTTCAACTCATTGTGTTATGGCTGTACATAAACGGTGTTAGCATCGTAACAAGTAAGTTTAGACAACTACAAATAACATCATGTCTAACTCAACTAGGACAAAAATTGCTTAACACAACAACACAGTTAATAATACATAATAATTGGTGATAAACTAAATGTCATTGTACACTTTACAAAAATGCTTACCATTTTACATAATACGAATATTTTATAATTGTTCCTGAATCAGGAAGAATATATTCGTTGCTAAAAACATTTGGCACATATTTTAACAGATATAAACTTCTAAATATAATTTCTACGCTAGTCTAATATTCACATAACTTAATAATAATATATGTATTCCTACTACAAATATACATATGAATATTATTCATTTACATTTCTTTAACAAAAACAATGCAGTAAACATTAACCCCGAAACACTACATCTAAAAAATAAAAACTTTGCACATTTAAAGTTGCACAAACCTGTCAATGAATATATCATCATATCATACAATCACGTTTATTAAGTCAGCATATATCCTATTAAATTTGACACAATTCTGCGCTGCGCTAGACATTAAAATTCTTAACATGCTGCCCTTTATTTGGAACATGCCGACAAAATCGACATATTTCGGGACTTTCCGTCCTTTGTTCAAGCGACGTCATAAATTAAAAAATTTACAAAAAATTACATTCATCAATGTTACCTGAAGACATTTTACGGAAATTTAAGAAGTTTGCCGGACCTGCCGGGATGGAATAAAGATTCGATTTAAGCTAATTGGTAGATTGTTGCTGTACAAATTGATTTGACTTTTCACCGACATTCTATAAATCTTATGAAACCATTATAAAACCAAAACAAGTGTGGAGAGGGAATGATACAAGCTTTGCATTTCAATATGTTTGACATATGAAAGCTATGCTCATGAGTAGTTCAAGATATCGTTGTGTACTAGTATATCATATAAGTAATTGTTATAAATTGGAATTCACATTCTTGCCTTATAAATAATCATTACCTTCGTATTCTACTTATTTGCATTAACGCCGGAGTTCATTCTCTTTCCGATTATATAATCATTTACCTTGGAGTTCACTCCCTTGTCTAATAAAGTAATTATATCCTTCAGAGTTTAATACCTTGCCTTATAGATAATATCATTCATTTACATCGCAGTTCACATCCTTCCTCAGAAAATCATTAACATTGGTGTTCACTCCCTTGGAAATAAGTACTTCTTTCTTTCAGAGTTCACTCTCTTGCTAAGTAAGCAATTCTTTCGTAATTTACTGCCTTGTGTAACCACAGATATATAAAATATTTAACTCCATGGTGTAACAACTATTTTTTTTATATTTCTCTCTCTTGTCTTATATGTTATTATTTTAGAGTGTACTCCCTTGCATTAATATATTTATAAGTTCTCTCCCTTGCCTAATCAATTATCATTAACACCATAGTTTACTCCCATTCCTTATGAAATAACTATTGAGTTAAATGAGAACTCCTTTATCTGGCCGATTTCGGTTTATCTCTTGCACATAAACCTACAACCAAAACAAACCTTCCTTCGATTACCTCCAACATAAGAAATTAACCACGGAGTTCACTCCCTTGCTTCTGCCGTAACTGAGTAATAAATTCTAATTCATCTTTTTTCATATATGTACAATCCTCAAAGCTTATACTGAACTGATCGTTCCATTTCGATTGCTCAACTTGTAAGACATTATCGGTACTGCCTTTCTGTGTCGGATCAATGCAATATTTATTCAAATCAATCAAAACGTTTTTAAAATGAGAAACTTCGGACTTAATTTCATTACTTTCTTTGTTAAACTGATCCCAGAATTTTTCGTAAAAATAATCATATACTTTGTAATCAAGCTTATTTCGTGTTTTGAATTTTGCAATGTCGTTTGTTGTAAGGTCTTCAATTGTTTGCCCTTTGCCATACACGTTATTAGATAGAAATAAAATATCCTTTAAGTTCCAACTCAAATACCGCTTCATAAGTATAAGTGACTCCTCAATGTATTCCACAAGCAATACCAGTTTGAAAGTTTGACCTAATTCTTTTAACTTCGCGTTTACTCGTCCCTCGTCGTTTGTTTTCGGAAATCCAAAATCTCGCGCCATTACGTTTTTCGTGTACGAGAAGAATTGCCTATCATATAGTTCCGG